CCAGGCAGTCCTTGGGCTTCGGTGACGGCGGCGCAAAGCAGCTCGCCCCCGTGGGCAAGTCTGGCAGGGCCCTGTTGTAGAGGCGCCCGTGCTCTGTCCCTTTGCCACACTGGTAGGACATCGTCCGAAAGACAGCTGCACAGTATGACGGGACACGTGCACGTGCTGCTCACCACGGCATTGTGCGTGGCGCAGATCAGGACCAGCCTGTCAGCGGGGTCCCTGGCGCCGCTTGGGGGCACCGCCAGTCACACGCGGGGCACGATGGCTTTGAGGCAGTGAGGACGGGCTCTGGGCAGCGACCTGCCTGACTTCCGAGCCTCATAAATGTTTCACATACAGAGAGATTTAAACCGGTAAAAAAAGAAAACCCTAAAACGAAGCAAAACAAACTTCTTCCTGGCGGTTATCTACTGCTACGTAATGAGTCACCCCAGACGTGGTGGCTGAAAAGAGCAGTCGTCGCCTGAGCTGGCATCTTGCAGGAGTCCTGTTAGGGGCTGGGGCTGGGTAGAGGGGACAGACCTGACTTGCTCGAAACCGCCGCATCTCAACTATGAACCTTGGTTTGTACAAACTGGCCACGGAGACGCCGGGGAAATTTGCGTAGGGACTGAGTATGGGACGATACTAAGGAATTTCTGTTAATTTTGTTAGTGTGATCGTGGCCGCCGTGTGCATAGATGTCCCGAATCAGGGACCAGGTGGCGCGAGGCCTGCAGTCCCGTACTGCGCGCCGTGCGTGAAGCCAGCCATGCGGAACGCTTGCAGCGCCCCTGGCAGGCAGCTGTTCCGCAGGTTATCTGCTCTGCTTTTCCGTTTGAAACTTCGTGATCAAATTCCTTAAAACGAGGTCCTGCCCGACGCTGCCGAGGACGGGGTGAGCCCGAGGGCAGCCTCTGCCCTGGACCCTGGGGAAGCAGGGTGCCTGGGGGGCTGGAGAGTCCCGCACCAGGAGCTCCCCCGCCCACCTCGGGCAGCCTGGTGAGGAGCACCACACCGCCGCCTGCACCCTCATGAGCTGCGGCAGAACCTTCCGGAGGGTGCGGTGGGCGTGTCCTCGTGTCGTGTCGGCCCCCGTGAGGGGTCTGTCGTGTGCGTGAGGCCACTTTCCGGCTGTAAGAGCCAGGTTCGCCTGCCTCTGTCTTCCCGCTTCTCCCCCAAGAGAAATCTTTTGATGTCCTCATTATAAAAACATCACAGGCTCATTATTTAAAGATGAAATCGTGCAGAAAACCGCTAGGGTAAGGTCGAGGCTGAGAGCCCGTGGAAGGCCACCTCAGAGGTGGGGACGCCTCAGTTCGGGGACCGTCTCCGGACTCCTCCCGAGGCTGTGAGGTCTGCGGATCCGCTCCGCTCTGCCAGCACACCGCAGGTTTGAGTTGCGCTGCGTGCGTCCCTGTGCCCGTTCTGTTCGTGCGTCACAGTCTGGCGCCACACCCTGTGGAGGGACGTTGGGGTGCTGAGGTCCGGTGCCCCCTCTCCTGCCAGCACCGGGGTCATTCCGTAAGCCGCGCCCCCGAGAGGTGACGGGCAGGGTCCCCTCCGGGGCTAGGTTGGTCGGGGTCTGGCTGTTCTGAGCCGCGGGGCTGCGATGCGGGGAGCTGTCCCCACATCTCCGGTTCCTCCTCAGGATGGGACCAGAGGGTCTGCCCAGAACCCCGCTGGGCCAAGGCGGTGCCATCATTCAGTGTTGCTGAGGCGGGGCACAGCTGCCTAGGTGGGAAGGACAGAGCGCCCATCCTGAGCTCGGTCTGCGAGGAGCAGCTGACAAGGCCAAGGGTGGCCGAGGAGCAGAGGACAAGGGCAGGACAGCCCCTGGAGGGAGGCTGCCAACCAGGCAGAGGGGCCGCGACAGGTGTGCACAAGCTCAGAGCCTGGTGGAGGCAGCGTGCTGGGAAGACGAAGCCCATGAGGTGGCCAGGGGCCTTGGGGAACCACACAGTGCCTGTCAGCCCTGGGTGCTGTCAGCATCATCGTAGGACTCGTAGACAAGCCGACGCCTGCCCCACCCCTCCCTCTTCGCTGTGAGCAGCGGGGAGCTGTGGAGGGTGTCGACCCGCAGAGCGGCACATGCCGGTGACAACGTACACTGCAGGGTGGGGGTGGCAGGGTCCCCCCAGGCGGGAGGGCTGCCTGTGAGGGCACAATGGGTGCCTCAGCTCATGAAAAGCAGGCACCTCCTGGCTAAGGAGGAACCCGGCTCAGCGGAGGTTGTTTGCAGGTGCTTCTGTCGGGGTAATCCGCACCATCTGTGTCCGTGGGCGCCTGAAAGCTGCCAAGCGGCAAGGCTCTGGGGTGGGCAGCGTCTGGGTGTTTGTCTAAGGCCCGGGTCAGAGGTGATGAGGCCCTTCAGAACGCACGAGTCTCAACAGAGGAGATGGGCGCCCGTTCCCGCCGTCCAGCAGCCGTGTGAAGCGGGAGCCTCTCCTCGGGTCCCCGAAGCCTGTGGTCCGGGGGGGTGTGGCGCCTTCAGACACGAGGCCCTAGGTGCCAGGAGCCCACGGCCCCCAGTGGCCCATGGGGCTGCTGCTGGGGGCGAGTGTCTCACCCCAGGTCGCTGGGGACTTCGCCAGGATCCAGGATGGTGAGGGCAGATCCCTGGGTGACAGGCGGGCCGTGGGATCTCCCCCCACAGCGCTGAGCTTGGCCTAACACAGTGTGGAGGCTCCGAAAATCAGGTGCCCGGTGCAGATGCCACTGGAAGCAGAGGACAGGCCCGTTCCCCAGGGGGCAGGCAGCTGACACCGGACGCGCTGGGGTTTCCAGGACAGACATTGCACTGGGTTCAGTAGTGTCCCCCTAAATTCACTTCAACCTGGAATTCCACGGCGTGACCTGGTTTGGAACTAGGGTCTCTGCGAACGTGACGGTTAGGTTACGAGGAGGTCACACTGGAGCGGTGTGGGCCCTAAATGCAACATGACTGTGTCTCTGAGAGGGGAAGAGGCACAGACACAGGCCACGTGACAGCAGAGGCAGAGACAAGTGACACAGCCACAAGCCCAGGGACCTCTGCAGCTCCAGGAGCTGGAAGAGGCAGGCAGGACCCTCCCCTAGAGCCTCCGGAGGGGGCGCGGCCCTGAAACCCCTCGATCTCAGACGAGCCGCCCGGAACTGGGAGAGAGTTCATTCCTTTTTTTTTGAGGCCCCGTCTGTGCTGCTTCATCATGGCCACCCCGGGAAACCCAGAAACTCCCGTTCTCATACTTCGTTCTCTTTAACAGAAAAACGCATTTGATGTGACAAATCTTCATTTAAATAAATTCATTCATGACTGAAATGGGAGACAGAAAATCCAGTCACAGCACACGCAGACAAGGATTGTCACCTAATTTCATAAGAGACGTGATAGGACATTTTGCAGGTTCCAAAGAGCCACCCCACATGCAGCCAGCTGCATGGGATTCTCACGTCCATTTCTGTCGGGGAACCTGAGACCCAGTGCCCAGAGATCTGAGAAAGTGTCAGGCCTGGGCAGAGTGCTTGGGGTGGCACCCTTGGTGGCACCCTGAGCCTGGCGCACTGCCCATCACTCGCACTTGCAGGTGAGGACACCGGAGTGCAGCCTGCCCCAGGTGTCGCCTGCCATCCCCCGCCACACCCCCAGTATCTCTGTCAAGCGAACGTGCCAGGGCACCCAGCTGCTACCTTTAGAGACATGAACCACCCTGGGCTATTTGTAGGTCTTGGAATGCACTGTGCTGCTCACCTGCCAATCTCTGCACTGCTCCTAGCCTGAAACGTGGTGCCCACCGACCCTCCCTGCTGGCCCACTCCCACTGGTTCTCAGGTGTCAGCTGGAGCACCACTTCCTCCCAGAAGCCTGCCTGATACTCTTCCAGTGGTGGGGACGGGGCAGAAGGCAAGGAGAGACAAGCACATAATCGAGTGAACGTGCCTCAGGAAAGCCGGCAATGGTGCCTTGATGGAAATAAAGTATGGGGAAGTGGCTAGTGTTCAAGGAAGGCCTCTTAGAGGAGGTGAGCGTCCAGCTGGACCAAATGATAGGCGGCAGCCAATGAGAGAATGTACTGTGGTATCATCCACAACTCCCCAGAAAGGGCCTTCCAAACCCACAGGAGCTCCAAAGGGGAACGGGCTGGGGTGTGGGGGTGGACTCTGCTCTCTCCAGGTGGTATCTGAGCCACAAGCAGACCCTGGAATTAGCCCTTCTGGCCCCTCAAATGGCAGCACAGAGCGGCCCTGGGCTCAGCATGCAGGTCTGTGATGGCTGCTCTGTCATCATGAGCACCAGGACCTGTGGGGGACCAGATGTCATCTGGGGCACAATGCAGGCTGAGCCACTCCTGGGACAGACTAAGGAGAGCCTGGGGGGCAGGGACTAAAAGACAGTCCTGGGCTTCAGCTTTAAGACCCTCGTCTGTGTTCTCAGACAGTCCCCACCCATCACCAGTGCAGGTGGGGTAATCAGGACAGCTGACACCTGCACCAAGCTGACCATTGGCCAGTGCTGTTCTAACTCTCCCCCCAGCCCTATTAAGCAAGTCTACAAGTGCCCCGATTTAAAGATGGGGGGATGGAGCCGAACTGGAGGGGCCAGGAGGGTGCGGCAGTGGGCGCAGGGTCCTACGGCGGGGCCGGGGTACGGGTGACCGGGAGTCCGGCGACGGGCGCCCACCACGTGGCCTCTGCGCGCCCCCGCCCCTTAAAGAGGCGGAAGGCACGCCAGCGGGCGAGCGCGCGCCGCCGCGGACCTCACACACTTATTTGCATACGGCCCGCGGGTCTGAGCGCGGCGCAGCTTCTGATTGGTTTTCGCCGGAGGCGCCGAAGGTAGTTGACTTGCGCCGAGCCAGTCCAATCACAGCCCGCCTTGCTCGAAGAGGGCGGGGCTATAGGGTTTGACCAATGGGAGGCGGCGTTGTTGGCGGCCACGGCGGCGCAATCCCAGGAGCGAGCGAACCCAACGCCGCCGCCACTGCTGCAGGAGGCGTGAGGTGCGGACGCGAGGGCTTGGCCGGGTAACGGCGCGCT